GGTCAGCCCCTAACTGTTATAACACCTCATGCAGTGGAGTCCATCATTAGACAGCCTCCTGACAGATGGTTGTCAAATGCCAGGGTGACCCATTATCAGGCACTACTATTAAATCCAGAAAAGATCAAGTTTGGTAGCCCTGCCACCCTAAACCCTGCCACGCTGCTACCAGCCACTGAGAAAGGCACTGAGATTCCTCATGACTGCCAGCAAATACTTCCAGAGACACATGGGACCAGGGAAGACCTCACTGACCAGCCCCTAACAGATGCAGATGCCACTTGGTATACGGATGGGAGCAGCTTTCTACGAGACGGTGAGCGTAAGGCGGGGGCGGCAGTGGTCGATGGGGAAAGAATAATCTGGGCCCAAGCCCTGGCAGCCGGAACATCAGCCTAGCAAGCTGAATTAAAAGCCCTAGCTTAGGCCCTAAAATTAGCAAAGGACAAAAAGGTCAACATTTACACCAACAGCCGCTATGCATTTGCCACTGCTCATATACATGGAGAAATTTACCGGAGGCGGGGACTCCTCACCTCGGCTGGTAAGGACATCAAAAACAAAGAAGTGATAGTGGCCCTTTTACCAGCCTTGTAATTGCCAAAACAGGTCAGCATAATTCACTGCCCTGGGCATCAACGAGACCAGGGGCCAATTGCTCGAGGCAATTGGATGGCAGATGAAGCTGCACGTCAGGCAGCAGAAGGCACCTGCATTTTCTACACCCATTCAGACCTGGAGGCTGAAACTGAAGCACAAAGGAGGGAGATGCTCCTTTCACCTACACTGAGCAGGATCTGGAACTCATTCGAAGGCTCAACGCTAATTTGGACCCAGAATCTAAAATGTAGAAATATCAGAATCGAATTATACTGCCCCAAAAGGAGGCCCTTGAGTTAATCTCCCAACTCCACCAGTGGACACACTTAGGATACAAGAAACTAAAGACACTGTTAGGAAGAGAAGAACAAATTTATTATTTCCCAGGCCTCAATCAACTAGTCCAAAAGGTAGTGGGAGATTGTGTCTCATGTTCCCTGGTGAATGCTACCAGATCAAAGGTTCCATCTGGTAAGAGAGAAAGAGAGACAAGACCAGGGACTAAC